CCAGCGCCAGGACGACAGACCCGAGGCCGTGGCTGCCAGGCTCAGAAAATACAAGGATGCTGCAAAGCCCGTCATAGAGTTGTACAAGTGAGTTGGAGCGTGCCGATAAATCGCAGCGTGCCGTAAAAACGGACACCAGCCGGTCCTGCGGCCCCATCCCCACAGCCCGGGGAGCCCTGGCACGGCCCCCGCCGGGGTTCGGGGGGCAAATCGCTGCCCTCAGCGGCACGAAGTCCAGCCAAGCCCTGCCTGGCCCTGTTTGGAGGGAGGAGGCTGTTGTAAAGAAATTCACAGCTCCTGTTTGTCCTGGCAGGCTCCTCAAAGGGCTTTGCCAGTGCCGGCGATGGGAGGGATTTTTTGGCTGTGGCAAACGGCGCTTGCAAATCCCTTCTACCCCCCGGCTCCGCTGCGCAGGGTGGGAAACCTGTTTGCTTTGCAGAGGTGTTGCCCATCAACACTACGGAGCTCCAGAGCAAGAGATGGAGAAGCTCTGAGATGCTCAGACCCTGCAAAGCCGTCGCTGAGGAAGCTGAGGGTCTGCAGGCGGGTGGGGACAGTGGCCTTGTAGGGAGCATCTCCCCTCCTGCCTTCACCCACGAGCTGCTTTCTGCACATAAACCCGTTTGCCCCGTGCTGTGCAGGTCCAGGGCGGAACGTGCTGCGCAGTCACCTGGAAAAAAAATCAGTGCAGGGCCTGAGGGGCTTAGGTGAAGCACAGAGCGATGGGCAAGAGGGCAGGAGACCTCAGCGCTGGCTCGGACAGGGCTGCTGTGGGCACAGACACCTTTTGGGGCTTGTTCCGTCTGCACTGCTGGTGGTTTGGGGCAGTCATCCCCTTGGGAGCAGACGGATTGCTGAGGGGTAGGAATCCACTGCTGAAAGTGAACCTGCTCAAGGCCAGGTTGGACAAGGCCCTGAGCAACCTGATCTAGTTGGAGATATCCCTGTTCCTTGCAGGGGGGTTGGACTAGATGACCTTTGAAGGTCCCTTCCAGCCCTAACCATTCTATGATTCTATGAAAGGGAGCAGGTGCTTGGGAGCGTTTTTAAGAGCAGAACTGGTCCATGGAGGCCAAAAGTGCCCTCGCAGGAGAGGGGGAGAATCAGCGCCCTGAATTTCCCACTCACTTGAGGGTATGAATAAATCCTGCTGATTTCTGTCTATCCCCCTCCTTTCACCCAAAAAGCCATCGGTGAGCTTCCAGCCTGGCCAGGCTGTCCCCTGCCAACAGCCAGCCTGACCATGAATCCCCCCATCCCCAGGAAGGGCTGGCGCTGACTTCTCCCCCCATCTCTCTTCCAGGAGCAGGGGCATCCTTCACTCCTTCTCGGGGACAGAGACCAACAAGATCTGGCCGTACGTGTACACCCTGCTTTCCAGCAAGATCCCACCCGTTCTCTCGGACGAGGAGAACTAAACGGCTCGTGCCAAGGACCAGGAGATCACTCGGATGATGGATTTGGTTTCTCTGCGCGGCGCTGGGGCTGCGCTCAGATGAGGCGATCGCGCGGTGCCTAAAGTCCCTTCCCCGGGTGTGCTGGGTGGCATCGATGGATACACGGTTATAGCCAGTGTCAGGGCAAGAAGATCTTTGCTTATAAGGTCAAGCCTGCTAGAATAAGTTTTTTTTTCCTCTTTTGAGGCTATAAAGTATTCCTGTCCGTGGTCCACGTAGACACACAGATGAGTGATGCCAACCCTGGTGATGATCACACCAGATTTACGCAGCTTGCCATGATGTCCCTGTCCCCCCCGTACCAACCCCAGCCCCTGTCTGAGCCTACAGTGTGCCATCCCGTTGCCCCACGGTATCGTTTACTGCAGGTTGCTCTCTAGGTGGGTAGGTTGTTGTTTGTTTTTTTTTTTTTCTATAAATTATTTTCTATTAAACTTATTTCTCAGAAAAATAAAGCTCTAAAAAGCCAGGCTCAGCCCAGCAGGCATTGGTGAGCAACATGGAAAACGTGTATGTTACAATGCTCAGAAACCTGAAGATCACATTTCCAGCATTAATACACCCAAAAGAGGGAAAACACTGGAGGTAGAACACGCGCTTGTGCTTCTTCCGTGGAGAGAAATGAAACCCCAGTTCTAAAAAGCTGCTGCACAATCTAGTTTTCCTGAGATGCTGTGACCCTGAGCAGGATCTGTGCCGGCGATGAGCCGCACTCCTTTGTGCTTACCCTGTTTGTAGCTTTTAATACTACAAGATACAGTCACGTTGTAAGAGTTTCTCCCAAAGATTTATTTTAATGCGTGCTTCAGTTTTGGGGAGAAATCAAGTCATTCCAGCTTCTGTGCTGCCTTTATCCCTGAGGTCCCCTGGAGATGGGAGGGTCCCCAAGCGGTTCCCACTGCGGCTGCAGCGTCCCCAGCAGAAGCAGCTCCCTCCCCACGGAACCCCGGAGGGAGGAGAGCCCTCCCTTCCTGGGGATGTGTGCAGGGATGCTGAGGGCCCTGCCCAGGTGTTTGTCCAAGATTTCCAGCAGCATCGAGCTGCTCCTCTTGATGTTCCTCTTCCTGCACGCTGGAGCTTTGCGGCTGGAGCGGCTCTTCTCAGCTAGAAGTACTGTGACCCTCTTGGGTGGTGGGATGCAGTCCCTGCGCAATGGGGATGCTCTTTTTTTTGTCTCCTCCGGTTGCCTTATTTTATAGAACATATATTTCAGGAAAAAAGCAAGATGTGTATTTTTAAAGGTTTCAAGCAAACAAAAAGTGCCAGTTTTTAGATCGGCTTTGGGGGAGCTCTGCGCATCGGCAGAGCATGCTGCGGTCTGCCGTGGGAGCTCAGCCGGGAGGCAGGAGAGCTCTTGCTCCCCAACATCTGTCCAATAAATCAGATAAATCTGATAAATCAGAGCAGCCTGGGCAAGTTTCTCTTGCTGAATTGTCACTGGTTTTATTTTTGCTTAGAGAGCAGCCCTGTGGCAGTGGAGGAGGAGCTGAGTGGCTGTTTTAGGGATGCAGGGGCGAAACTTCGGCGCATCACCCGGAGTCTTATCCCCGCTCGGCCGCCCGCATCCTCGCGCTGCCAGCGGAGCCCTGATGTTTGCTCTCTCCATCAGCAACAGCTTTGTCCCGGTGCTCTCCCAGTGAAGGAGTCGGGCAGCCGCTGAGTGGGATCTCTGCCCGCGTGCTGCCCACCCATCACCTGCCTGCCGGTGAATGCAACGGCACGGTGGCGGCGGCGGGGGGCTCAGCATCCCACTCTGGAAGGGAATTTCCCAGGTGGGAGCAGAGGGACCTTCACTGCTGTCCCCAGGAGGTTTTCCATCCCCCTGGAGCTCCTGGGCTGGGAGGACGCAAATCTCCCACCTTGCAATGAAACCCTGTGTAAGAAAGATTTTAGATTATCCCATGACCCTCCGAAGAAGGTCTGGGCCACTTTTTAAACACAAATCTAGAAAATAACCGAAATGCGTGCGCTGTTTTCTTTCCGACAGCGTTGGGCAGGAGGGGAGGAGATGATGGGGGGTGGGTTTTTTTGACTATAAAAGCAGCCTGGCCGCAGCAGGCAGCTCTGCCAGGGTCAAGTGCCAGGCAGGGGGCTGCTCCCGGCTCTCCCTTGCCTGGCTCTTGCATCTCATCCTCTCCCCTGCTGCAAAACGTGTCCTGCGGAGATGGCAGCGCCCAGCGGCAGGACAGGGCTCGCAGGTGTCTTTGCCCCAGGAGAGCCGCTCGGGCGTGTGTTTGAAAGCCTTTGAGCCCTATAGTAGGTGTAGAAATCCCACGACTGTGCGTGCATCGAGCCCTCGGGATGGATTTTTCCAGAAGGGTTGTCGTACAATGCATTTCCATAGACCAAATACCAGCAGGGATGAGGTCCCGGAGCGATATGCATCCCTCGCCTTTCCTCCCCGCCGCGCTCCCCTTTGGTATGTTACTGTGAATCTCACACCTTTTCTAAAGCGACGGCACTTTTGTACCAACCCGAGATACTGTGCGGTGGCAGGAGGGGTTCCCTGCGTGCCGGGCACCGCTGCCGTGTCACCCCGAGTCTTCTTCCCGGACTTTTCTTCCCGGTGAATCGCTGCAGCCATGTTACTGCTCGAAAGATGTAAATAAAATTTTTCTCCTGCTTATAACTCAGTGCTGGCAGTGTCTGTGTGTGAGCTGTACCCCAGCGCCGCCCAAAGCCGGGCTCAGCACCAGCCCTTGCCCTGTGCGGAGGCTGCAGGATGTGCCTTGGGCATTTTTGACCCAGGGTTTCTTTGTAGGAGTTGTGGAGGAGGAGAGGAGAGGAAGGAGAAGAGTCAGAGCATCCTCACTTGAACACAGCAGAAAGTCACCCAGCTGAAGGGATCCCCCAGGTTTTGGGGCACAATGCTGCTGTTCAGGTCCTGTCTTACAACTCCTTTATTTGATATAATCCAAAATATGGGTTAAAAAGCCAGTTCTACAGCGTGGATGAAGCCAGTTGCTCCTGCCCTCCCATCCTTGTCGCACGTAAGGTGGTTTTTGTTTTCCTGTTGAACTTTCCCCAGTGAAAGTATCGGAGAGCATTAGGCCCAGCAAGGCTTTGCCTGTCGCCTGTGCCCCACGTAATCCGTCACACGTATTTCGGTAGAGGGAATTAAAAGCCATGAACTGAAGCGCCTCTGCCCATCGCTGCCACCTTGCAGATCCAACAGTTTTTTTCTTTTAATTCCCAAATAACAGCTCAGGGCCCTCGGTCCCCTGTTTGGAGTAAGCAGAGCCTCAGAAATGATTAGGAGAAATAAAAAAAAAGGGTGATAAGCAGCGAAACCACAGCCTGGGAGGTGAGGAAGCAGTGGCATGGCCTTGGCGTCCGTGGATGAAGGAGCTGAACCGGGCAGGAGGGGTGCTGGGGTTCAGGGTCGTGGCAATCCGGAGGCGGAGGAGGGATGTGTTGCCACCGTGCAATTCCGTCTGAGGGTGCAAGGGCAGATAAATACAAGGAGGGGAAAAGCGCTACGCAAGCTAGAAAATTAACTTGATCTAAAAGCAAAAGTTTGGAGGTCAAAACGCAGAGGGATGTGGGAGGAGTGCCAGAATCAAGCTGAGACCAAAGCCTTGGCTTTCCCCGAGTGCCATCAGGGCAGCTGGGGTGGCACAAGGGCTGGTGTCCCCGTCCCTCCAGCCACGGCACGCGCTGGGCTGCATCTGTGGGAGCTGCTAAACATTCCTTTGGATTTCAGGACAACACTGAAAGCTTTGAAATTCCCACCTCTGCCTTGTATTTGTATATATTGCGCAATATCGACCCCTTTGTGCAAGGTTTGTAGTACATTATTCTGAATTTCCTTTCTGCACTCCAGGCTGCTCATTTACAAACTTGTCCATTGGCGTGTCTGTCCCCGGGGACCTGTGCCTCGAAACCCTCTCGGTTCCCCATCAGCCAGCACCCCACTCCGCTTCCCTGGGTGGCGCGCGGCAAGCTGAAAGCCTCTGGGATGCTCCAATACGGTGGGGACGGGGAAGATAACGGGAATTAACAATGACTGCTTGGAAAAAAATGGCACATAGAGCGCGTAACCCCAAGCTTGGGGGGGCAATGATATAGCATCGGCTAGTGGTAGCCATCCAGTGCCTCAACTGGCACACTGCCCCGTTACCAGCACTGCAAAGCTTTGACAGGCCAAGCCCGAAGCATTTAACCTTCTCCAAAAAGAAAAAAAAAAAAAATCAGAGAGGAGGGGAGA